ATTCCTCTGCATTAGCTTTAAGGATCAATCATTTGATGGATACAATACAAATATAAACAATAAATCTATTAGTTAAGTATTATTAATTGCTAAATTACAAACAGCTTATCACTTTGCATTAAATTTAGTTTTAACAGGCAATTTGGTTAATTTGAAGAAAATATCAATAAACACATTTCAACACGTTTCTACTATTTTCACACATATACAAGGCACAAAAAATAGAGCACCGAGAGTATTGAAATGCTACTTTCTGAGCAGTTTCTTGGTTGCTTCCCGAGCTCTACATCCATATGGTCTATCCAGACCACAACGTAAACTGGGCTCGGTTGGCCTGCTCCCTGACTGTGAACACTATCTTTGCAGATGGTCCTGCACTGAGGAAGGAAGACAGTACAAAATTCTCTAAAAAAACCCAAGAGACAAGCTCACTATCATACAAAACAGAAAAATAAAACTCTCATCTCCTACTAACAAAAATGCAGAATCCTTTAGGAAAACAAATATCACTTAACTACTGAAATGAATAGACCCACAATGAAGACAAATGAATATTAAAACAGCAAACACCTATCCAAGCAACAGACTGAAGGAAGAAGGGTCACAGAGAGAGGAACTGAGCTTAACCTCAGAAGATCACATGTGATGAACAACAGTCAGATCATTTACAGACAGCCAAGGGCTACACAGCAAAAATGAGGACTGGCTAGGAAATTCTAGCTCGAGTGCCAAAATTCCAAAGATTGGATTTCCAACCATATCATGCAAGTGTGTTGCATGATATCTCTAAGAGATGAAGTCCTCATCCTTCATCTCCAAGAGATGAAGGATGTGTGGATAAGCCTTATGCAGGTTAAGCTTGACTACTTGATGTAATATCTGAGAGAGATGCAAGTCTTAGCATAAGGAACCAAGAAACTAGGATTGGCAAAAACTCCTCCTTAACAGAAACCTGAAGGAATCGGTGCTAAGTCACCAATACTACCACAGGAAAAGGGGAAAACTGCAGGTTAAAAAACCAAGCCTGAATAGCATTGTAACCCATCACAAAATGAAGATTATTCTTGTCCATGAATGACAATTGAGGCTGCAGCCATATATCTGTCACAGGACCAAAAATAAATACCCCCAAATGCCAAGATCATGGAGCCAGTCAACAGATAGAGGGACTTCAGTGTGACATCCTTCAGTCAAGAAATGACCCAAAACTGAGCAGACGATAAGTCCAAAACTGCATCTAACAACACAAAGACACCTTCAAGGAGCAAGGGGATGATGAACATAAAAAAAAGGCAGAGACCAGACAAAAAATTAAAAACAGGACACTTCCAGCCAAGCTCCAACAAGAGGTTCCAACAGAGTTGACTGATAAGAGGTAATGGTATCCAACATCAAACAACAGTCTATGAAGACAAGAAAAACAACATTTATGCTGGAGAATCCACTGAAGAAACATAACAAAGTATCACAAAGTGCTGGAGGAATGGCACCACCTCATACTGTACAAGAGTAAGTTAGTAATTATAAAAAGAAGGCCCCAAGCATATTGGACACAAGATAAAAAGGAGAAAATATAGAGCCTGCATCCCATACAGGTCAGAGTACAAGTGCCCTACAAAATCCAAACATGCAGATCTGTTGTGTTTGGAAAAGTCAGATTAACTTTGATCACCAATCCCCTGAAACAGATGAAGGCCTAAAACTTGAAACATGGTAGTTGTCAAATTAACAATATCGCGCGCGGCGCGTGAGTGCCGCAGACTTTGATGCCATGGGGCGGATGGTGCGGGTGAGCATGCGGCGACGCCTAAATGTGAAAACTCGTTTCAGTTTTCTCACCTTAATTCTCGTGCTATGTTGTTCGTTTTGGTATCATTGTGTTTGCAATTAAATTCTCTGCAGGTGTATATGCATATAATGTCCAAAAACCTGGCGAGACTCCCCACAGCAAAGCCTAAAGTCGGAAAACCAAGACCCAAAAAAGGGTCAAAGGGAGACCACAATGGCTCCTCGGACAGAGCCACCGATCGAACACTTTCCACATCTAGAAAAGCAGAAGTGCCAGCCAATGACTCCTGCTAAAATCATGGGCAACAGCTGAGGCCCCTGAGAATGAAGCTCCCCAGTTCACCCAGGAAGATTAAAATGACTCTTTCCCATAGAAAATCTAGGACATGTCCACCATCTCCAAACGCAGCCTCATTGTAGATGGACCTAACAGGTTTAACCACCAACCACAAATCCACCCACAGTAGAAAAGCCATTTGGTGATGCTGAAGAGCATGCAACACCCTTACAAACTTCAGGATGAAACACAAATTTTGAGCATCTAATAATTCAACATGCTCTTTAAAGAAAGGCAGAAGCTGCCACGAACTCGTGCCAATATTGGGAACTGCCAGTACCTATACTTAATTGCCCTAGTCTCCAGCCAAGTTGCAGCACAGGAAAAAGGCTCTAATAGGATTATCATTCCTACCTAACAATAGTCTCACCCAAAGGGAGAAATGTATTCAATACTCAACACTACAAATGCCTGAGGCAGCAGAGACGTATGTTAGGGTTGAAAAACTTGATACTACACTCAAAGCCGGGTAGAAACGCCATAAAGCTCTGAATAGCTTGACACAGGATAAGAAAGAATTGATTAGTCTAAACTCCCATCACAGTAAAGACACTTTGTTAGCACTAAACAAGACCCACTAACAACAAAGAGACTTTACAAGAGCAGCCCCATGTCCAGTGCACTGTATACTGAATAAGAAGCCTCTACTTTACATCGAATAAGGTAATCCCAAGGGAAGAGCACTGCCATAGTCATCTCAGGAAACACTGTAACAGACTCAGGGTAAGAGTATGATAAGCTTTAAGGCCTGGACATAAGACACGGCCCATGTATCTGCCAGTGTAGTAGAACCTCTCAAGAGGAGAGGAACTGCCCAGTTGGCTGTGCCAAACAGCATAGAGAAAACTCTGAAAGCCTTCTGCCATTAGTATCAGAGAAGGTAACTCAAAGGAGAGCTGAAGCAGAAAGCAGAGCTGAAGTAGAAATCAGAGTACACACACCAATGATCACAACAGCCTTAGACCCCGTGCACAGACAGTCTCAAGGAAACAGCAGTCAAGAAAAACTCAACAGAATTAATCTCTGCAGAGTAGTATGTTAAATGGGGGAGATGCCATGCAACAAGCAAGGCTTGCCAGTTCTCTCAACCTTGTTTACATATAGCATCCTTTCATCTTATGGCAGTCTGTGGGTAGTTGTTAGTGGTCTATTCAGGAGTTAACACAGCAATATTTAGTTCTCATAGCAAATTCAAGGTTTTCCTAACAGGGATTCATTGCGAGTTTTGTTTTGCTGCTTTATTTAATGGCAAAATAGTCTCTTGGTAGTGAAAAAGAGTACTGCCAACTTTCTTCCCTCCTCAATTTACACAGCAAGACCATTAAGAAAGATTTTTTTTTTTGAGATATATACAAGAGTTGCTACATTCTTGTACAGCCACTAATACGCGTAACGTTTCGGGCAGGTCCCTGGAATACGATCCCCGCCGTGAAGAATCGTTTTTACAACCAAGTACCCATTTTACTGTTGAGTTAAACAGAGGCTACAGTTAAGGATTTGCGCCCAGTAAATCCTCCCCGGCCAGGATACGAACCCATGACTAAGCGCTCGCGGAACGCCAGGTGAGTGTCTTACCACTACACCACGGAGACTATGTCATAGCCACAGATATCTGTCATAGTAAGGGAACAGGTAGATAAGAGCCTATAGAGCCTAGTTAACATTGTAGTCTTGGAGGATCACATGGATCCATGGCTTGGCCAGTAACCAAGGAATTTGGCTTATTAAACAAATGGCACAAACTGTTATTGAAATGCTTAATGTACCTGCCATTTTGATTTTGGATACATCCACGAATGTTACTTGTATAGGCTCAAAAGTGTAAACTAAATTATTAAACATTTATTGGCTTTACATTATGTATATCACTATGGAGTAGATCATTTTAAGATCATGTAAACTAGTAAATGCCTAATAATGCAGTAGATGAAAAATGTTCATTATTGAAGTCAAGCAAAGAACCACACAATATATTACATACTGATATTCTATATAAGTAATTTTTAAAAGAATTTTCCAAATGCTTTATTGTCGAGAACAAATATTTTTGGTCATCACCACTTGGGGAAACCAATAAGCAAGAAGAGAGATTTATATTAACTCTTTTTCTAAAATTATCAGGTCTTCTCTTTAGCCACATTCACATTATAACTCCTCAAATCTCCTCAAGTCAAGAAGTCCACTTCTTGTTAACACTTGCCACTGCCAGGCGAAGATAAGAGAGCAGTAGAGGAAACAAAGGAAAATTATATATTAACAATGACACCCATTCACTACATCATGCACTCACGGCATGACTATAAGAATCAGCACCACCAGATACCATGCCTTCACGGAGAGCCAGGTACCAATAATATTCTCCATAGGATTACAGGGACTCAGCACCACCACCATACTTCAATGTATTATGTAGAGCCAGCACACCATACACTATAGCATCACAGAAACCCAGTAGAATGCCACCATACTTCAAACAGAGAACCAGAACTATCACACACTATTGTATCACATATCACCATCATGCCCCATAGCATCACATATCACCACCTCCACCACACCCCATACCATCTCATATCACCACCACCATACCCCATAGCATCTCATATCACCACCTCCACCACACCCCATAGCATCTCATATCACCACCACCATACTCCATAGCATCTCATATCACCACCACCACCACCACACCCCATAGCATCTCATATCACCACCACCACCACCATACCCCATAGCATCTCATATCACCACCACCTCTACCTCACCCCATAGCATCTCATATCACCACCACCATACCCCATAGCATCACATATCACCACCTCCACCACACCCCATAGCATCTCATATCACCACCACCATACCCCATAGCATCACATATCACCACCTCCACCACACCCCATAGCATCTCATATCACCACCACCATACCCCATAGCATCACATATAACCATCACCACCACACCAACGAACTATTCACAATAAACCAACAGCTTCATTAACTCTCAAAATGGGGCTACTGTATCATCATAATGGTCACCCTGATCAGATTTTTTCTATTTTATTTTACTTGTTTATCTTATGATTTGTAGGTTTGTATTCAAAAGTATTGTAAATCCTTTAAAATTTATATACAGTACAATAACTACCCTTATTTTGGCCTAAGTAGTGGTCAAAATTCCTTCTGACATTTATCAGCATTAAATTATGAAAGGACCAAACAAAAAATATTTTGTTTTATTTTCAAAATATATTAAAAATTAGGAATCTGTGTGTAAAAGTAAAAAGATTACAAAAATAAATATATACAGTGATGATCTTTAAGTTGGCCAGATAAGTGCCGTTATTACCATACGTGATGGCAGGGCTGAAGTCCGATTGACTAAATTATTTTATGGCTTCCCATTATGGTTGGGAAACACCAGTGAGCTATTAGAACCACATGGGAAACCTACACACACACATCGTGGATCTTTATTCGATGATGTCCGTCCACACTGCACTAGACGACCAACGCACGACGATAACTGTATTTTGAGGGTTAAACTTCACAATTCAGTATTCGTCATGTATAACTTATTATATAACACCTAGTCTTCATTACTTCTCCCTTCTTTCACAATTCAATATCTATTCTAGCATGTCTTCACAACTGTGTCACACAGTTGTGACACAGTTGTAAAGGGTGGTGGAGGCCAAGACCGTCAGTAGTTTCAAAGCGTTATATGACAAAGAGTGCTGAAAAGACGGGACACCACGAGCGTAGCTCTCATCCTGTAACTACACTTAGGTAATTACACATTCATATTTTCAGAGCAAGAGACAGCTACCCAGAGTATGCTTAGCACATTATTACTGTGCCACACTTAGAAGAACAAAGGCCATCATTCATCAAATGTTATAATTAAAGACAAATAACACTTTTCAATAATTGTTGGGTAATAAATTTCATATTTAGATTGAATATATAAGTTTTACCATTTTCACAATAGTGCATTATCATTAGCAAAAAAGCACTTACGACATTTTGATTTAGGCTAATAAAATTATCAGTTCTGCCTTTGGGCCAATCCATATGGTGCATTTAAAATGTAGTTTTACAGCACTCACATTTACAAAGAACATTCAATTAATAATTTGAAAATACTTCTTCCATTGCTCCAGTGCCGTATAAACTAAACACCAACGATATCCACTTTCCAGTTCTTAAATTTTCAGGTCCATTTTCCCTCCCCTTCCCCTCATTTCTTTTGAATAACATCTCGTTATTAACTGTCATAATAAACAGATTGTGTATTTTTTAGTAAATCTAAAGAGAGGAAGGAACACCACAGCTGAGTGGTCGCACCAAAAGCAAGAGAGAGAGAGGGCCAAGTAAATAATTATTACAAGAAGGTACCAAGTCGGGGAGACTATGTAGCATCACCAAAGGTGCAGGATATTTAAAAGGCGCTAGTCATCATTTAGGATGCCAATATGAGAACAAAAGAGCATAAGGCAAGCGATATCAAAGGTATCTGATTCACCAAGGAATCTATCGAGGGACAAATGACCGCGAGGGACATTTGGGAAACAAGACACATGTACATCCATGGAAGTCAGGACATTCAACATGGATGTGCATGACCGTAAGAAGGACAATGTAGTCTGGACAATAAGGAGCAGGGCTGCGCTCCATTAAGTGCCGCCCTGGGAAAGAGAGAAGGGAGGGAGCTGTACCATCTCTGGCGGGAAGAAGGGGACCCATAGCCTAAGAGAAAAGCCACAATACCACTATGCATTAAGGGGGATTTTTTTCAAATACATCTATGTATGTATATATGTGTTTGTGTATCCATACACTTGAAAATAAGAATTATTTATCATAATTTTATGACTAAAATACATATTTGACAGACTACAACACACACTATACATCACACACCCATGACACATTGTGGTATCTCTGCGGTATACATTGAGTCAAGTAACTCTCATAATGCCAAAAAATTTAACAATTAACTATCTGTTTTATGTACAGTATATTTATTTGTAGTTTATTATGTTTACAAGACTTAGCATGCTTGATCCAGCCCATGCAAATGGAAGTAGAATAATGTTAATAAATATAAATAAGTGATGCATCTGCAAGTGAATTAGTATTGTATATGGAAAATATCATATATGGCCAAAGAGCATTAGTTAGATTAAAAACTATTAAAAAACTCAAACACATTACTGTACTATGGTCAGACACTATCCGAACGATCACGCAGTCCAATTAGTTTTTCTTTAAGAACATTAGCTAAGCTTGGTTTCTCATTAGACAGTGGAAGAGAGGAGCATGAACGCTGAGGTGAGTAAGCTGCAGCTGCCCCTATGGAACCTGCAACAGAACCTGGAGTATGGTGGCGGTGACAGTAGCAGGGGCCCTGGTGGTTTGGGGGGAGAGCTGCGTGATGGGAGGGAGTCGTACCTATGGTGAAGCGTGGATAGTCGCACATCTCGCACTTGTTCATATCTGGGTGATTGATGAAGGTGCACTTGGTACATCCCCACTTTGGACCAATCTCATCTACTGTTTCCCCATGCACTCCCTGTTAACCAAATAACAATCAACAAAAGGGCTATATAATATTTCAAACTCACAAATAAACATATAATCAGGTTAAAGTTCATTGTATATATAAGAGTTTCAGAACTTCTCCAATTTATCTCCATTGTTTCGTATTCTATTTTGTGTTGATATATTTAGCACCTTATTTATATCCCCTTTGTTATACCCTTTCACCCATTTATTTATATAATTCAATCATGAAGTATATGAATGCTCTTCCTACTTGTTGAGAATGTAAATCAAGATTTTCCATCTTTCTTCATATTGGAGGTTTCTAATTCCTGGGATTACTGTACTTTGTTACATATCCTTCTTTGCTTGTATTCAAGTAAATTTATGCATTTTATAGTATGGCACCCAATACAGTAGAACCTCGAGTGATGACCGCCTCAATTGGCGAGCATTTTGGGTAATGAGCACCCAGATCGCCGATAATTCGTCTCGTATGGCGAGCGCTCGTTTGAGTAATGACAACGCCACATGGTGGGGTCGCACTGCTTCTTGCACATTCTCGGACACCTCCGACGATGCAAATAATTTTTTTTTTTCTTTTTTATTTAAAGATGCTAATGATGTTGGGATATAAATGGGTGACTGCTGTGATGTTGCAAAGCATTGACTTTTATGTAGGAAGAAGAAATGATTTTTTTTTTTTGTAAAAAACAACAAATGTCAAAAAGATTCGTTCGGTGTTTGTCGGGTAGGCTGCTCCATTGAGACACAAATGAAAAATACAAAACAAATGGAACACATTTGAAACAAAGAAAGATTGTCATTATGGAGCATCCTACCCGACAAACACTGAACGAACCTTTATGGCATTTGTCCGTTTTTCAATTGTTTGATTTTTTCAATTGTTTTTTTTTTTTTTTTTTTTTTTTTAAGAAACATGGAGCAGCCTACCTGCTGAGCACCGAACAAACCTTTTTGACCTTTGTTCTGTTTTAAAAAAATTTTTTTTATTTTATTAAAACATGGAGCAGCCTACCTGCCGAACACTGAACGAACCTTTTGCTATAAAAAAATGGGGAAAAAATTGAACAAATTTGAAGAAAGAAAAATATAAAGGTTTGTTCAGTGTATGTATGGTAGGCTGCTCCATTATTTGAAACATCGAATATCATATTTATATTTTTCGGTGTAGAACGGATTAATTTGATTTCCATTATTGTCGATGGGGAAATTCTTTTTGTATGATGTCCGTTTCACGTGACGAGCACGGCGCCGGAACAGATTAAATTCATTATTCGAGGTTCCACTGTACCACATTTTATATTATGTCACGTTTTATAATGACTCTACTCTATTATCATTCAAAACTTAACCTCTGGTCAACTAACATGGTGTATTAATGAAGCCTGACTATATCTTGTATAAAATTTCAAAACCAAATTAATTCAAACCTGAAATTCATTGAAACTGTGGTTGGGGAGTGAAGTTTGTGGAGGTGGCGGGGGTGGTGGTGGCGGCGGCGGTGGTGGAGGTGGGGCAGCAGGTCTTGGAGGAATATAAGGCGTGTGTGAGGCATGAGGTGTGTGAGGTATATGAGTCATGTGAGCTAAGTGAGGTGTGTGTGGGGTCTGTGGTGTTTGTGGTGAGCCTGTTCCACTGCCCAAACTTGATCCAGAACTTGCTCCTGTTGGAAAATATAGCTTGAGTTACTGACTGGTTGCTGAAAAAACTTCCATTTCCATATATATATTCAATAAGCTTGATTATTACAAAAATACAAACTACAGTATGATGTAAATAATGCTTGAAAAGTCACATGTTTTTACTTTCTATTTACAAGAAAAATTGTCTATTGTATGTCATATACTGTTTCCTAACAAACCATTTTCACACAAAGGTTATTATAAGATGATAATATTCCACCACGTGGATTCTTTTAAGTGATTACTGAGATAATACGTAATTTTGGAAATATGATGTACTGTATATACTTACCTGCTGCTAAAATTTGGCAACCATACCCTAAAGCTCTTCCAGAGTCTCACACCTTCCAAGAACCAATTACACCTAGCCTGGATGCCCTCATGCCTGGGCAGAGTGGACTGTCAGTTCACAAGCCATATGATCAGAACTAGAAGAGCCTCTCTCATTTTCTCTCAGTCTCTACCTCTAGGGAAGGTCTGCTTCCTTAACAGACTCCTCTGCATCCTCTTCCAACACCGAAACTCCTGCTGCTATGGTGAATGACCTCCTGACCTGCAGTGCCTGGCTACAGTAACCAAGTCCTCTACTACATCAATTGACGTTTTGCCCTGCAGTATCCCATGCCTGACTACCATCGTCAAAGACTGCCTGTACAGACTACAATCACACATTGACTATGTAAGTTTCACTATTTTATTTTAAAGCAAAATTCAATTCAATTAATGGTTCACAATCAAATTAATCTGGTCATCTGTTATGTCAAGCCATCCAATCCTACCTAACACCAAATCCTAAATGACATCTATACAGTCTGCTAATCCAACCAATGGAAAACGTTGATGAATTACGCAACAAGAGGTGGACAGAAATGGTTGGGCATATTTCCTTTCACCAAATGCTTCTGTTCACCTAGCAGTGAGTAGGTACTCAGGAGTTAGTCAGCTTGTTGTGGGGTTTGCATCCTGGACAGGGTCAATAATTTGACTTGGGGGAGGGGGGGGGGGAACCTCGGTATAAGACTAATGTATTAATACATTAGTCTTATACCGATTGTATGAATACAATCTGGCTTCCTGTCCTCCGACACAATGAATTATTATTATTTTCCACAAGCCTTAAATCACAACTTTCTTAAATGTCAGATAAAATGGATTTAAGCTCTACTGCAGAAATCTACTGGAGAGAAGAGGACTGAAGATAGTCAGCCATGACTTAATGATTTGCAGTAAAGTTGCTATCATTGCTAGATTACAAATGCCATGTCAATGAGACTGTATAGTGCCCTTGTTTCTGTTCCCCTATTATTATTATATTATTATTACTGTATTATTATTTTGAAAATCCATAGGAGCCGTGATGAGGGTTTGAACCTATGCGGTGGGACTATACCATGACATGGGGTATAAGGCTCCTACAGATTTTTTTCATTAATGCAGTCATGTTAGTGTGATTACTCTCTGTGTATTATTATTATTATTATAAATATTATTTCAAAGTGTTAACAAGTGTTAGTTATGTTTATTCCTCATACATGAAATGCCACAAACACACTCTATATGGTTTACTTGTCCACTTCAATACAAGCCTTCTTGAGGTTATCTTGAGATGATTTCGGGGCTTTTTAGTGTCCCCGCGGCCCGGTCCTCGACCAGGCCTCCACCCCCAGGAAGCAGCCCGTGACAGCTGACTAACACCCAGGTACCTATTTTACTGCTAGGTAACAGGGGCATAGGGTTAAAGAAACTCTGCCCATTGTTTCTCGCCGGCGCCTGGGATCGAACCCAGGACCACAGGATCGAACCCAGGACCACAGGATCACAAGTCCAGCGTGCTCTCCGCTCGGCCGACCGGCTCCTTAGGACCGACCTAAGGCTGCATTGCCTTACAGACAATGCAATCATCATTGATAACTGTCCCAACTTTACGTAATGATACTTTCGTCATTAATGATTACACAAAGCTTCTTGCTCTCCTCCTTCCCCTTCCCTTCCTCTCCTCTGTTGCTTGTGTCAAGATGCCATTATAGTGTAGTTTTGAAGATCTCAAACACTCAAGAATACTTACTAGTTAACTGAAGGGCTGCAGGGACTTCATTGTATGGTTGGGTGTTGGGTAAATTTGAGTAACCTTCTGATTCCATATCTGGGGCTGTGAGAATGGAAAAAAAGACTTACTTGAAACAATGAAGAATTATACAAATATCCTGAAATACAATTACAGTACATGTACTGAATACTTAATAAATTTCCTACACCAGGTAAACAAAAAAATTTCAACTTATAAAATAATCAATATTTTATTCAATAACCAAATGCTAATAAAAGCCTCCTCTATACACTTACAGTACTTTGCACAGAACTTAATATTCTCCAAGAGACCTTGCCTCTATACTCTTAAGTTTACCAATTACCCTAATTTTGACATCAAAGTGCAGAAAAAAGCATGTTCTATCATTTACAATAATTAAAAACAATAATGTTATGTATAAAACAGACAACACAAATAAAATCAAGCATTTAATGTAAAGAAATACCCTTTTCGGAGCAGCCTCCATAGTTGCATGGAGGCTACTTTGGGTTTATTTCAACAGACACGTCCACAAACCTACCAGGTCTCTGGACTTATGTAAGCCTACCAAACACCAGGACCAGAATCTGATTTGCTCATAAAGAAGAGATCATAATGCTAGCTGAAGATGGTCCCACAGTTACAGCAAGGCTAACCCTGGGATCAATCTTTCATTCTTGTCCAGGTAATTTTTTAGTTTATTGCAATCTTCCTCACAACTTTTACATCATCAGCTAACAGTGAAAGAAATGAGCCTATACCCTCTAAATTTCATCTACACACATCGGAAACGGTATAGGTCCAACTACTCTCTCTCAAGTGACATGCCACTGTGAGATCTTTCCTGTTATGACATTGTCTTCTGTTACTTAGATACTCCCTTTTCCACAAGCACATCTTCCCTATCATTCCTGCCTGCTTCTCCAACTTATGCACTAATTTCTTGGTGTGTACTGTGTCAAAGACATTCTGACTATTCAAAAATTTATACTGTAGCCTTTGGTTCCATGCTTTTGGGGAGTTGAACATTTTAGTTCTTGTTCTTCGATGAGCTGTCTTTTCGATTTGGCCAGTGCAGCGTTGTGATTTCTTTCTTTCACTTAAAAGCAATACGTTAGTATTGCAACCTTTAACCTGTAGGGCACCTTCTGCAATCAGTTTAGACTATTATTTATACTTGGGGATGTCCCCTGTCTCATTTGACTTAGTGACTTAGATGTTTCTTTCTTTCTTCCGTTGAAGCTGGTTCAAGTGAATAACTGAAAGGGTTTAGTTCAGAGCACACTTTGGTGGCTAGGGCTACAAGTCGTTGCCGTGATGCTGCAACCTGCTGGTTATCAGGATAATAGCTAATTGCCCAACTGGTAGTTACCACAGTGAGAATTAGCACTAGTTTATTACAATTTTCACTTTAAAGTAGTTTGTTAAGTATAATGTTCATTTTATAATTTAATGTATACTGTACTGTAATTAATTGATCTTTCAGTGGTGGCTAGAGTTAAGATTTACTATCATCTCTCTTTCCCATCTACATGACCTAACTTCCGTATTTGATAAGTTGCTGGTTATGATGTGAGAGTCATTAAGAACCTGACAGATGGCATGTCTCTTTGTGAACCCAAATAGGCCATTAGCCTCAGGAAGCAAGTGAAGGAACAGCTCAGAAAGGAGATAATTCTTTTTTCATTATATACTCAATTTTGTTATACTATTCTTTTTCTCTATCTGGTCTCCTATTTTTTCCAGGTTCATGACTTCCCACCTCAAAAAAGTTGGAAACAGTATACTGTATGTGATGTATTGCATTCTTAATTAATAGTACAGTGTATCAAATTAATTGTTTTTAGATGAAAGAAAAGCATTATATTAAGTAACATACAAAAAATAAGAAGTATCAGCTTACCAAGACGTAAAATTTTATTTTCCATTTCGTAGCACTCCGATTGTAATCGCTGATTCTCACGTTGTACTTCTTCAATTCTCTGGAAAATAATATGTGTATGATGATGATGATGATAATAATAATACACACAGAAATCACAATAACGTAATATGTCAAAGGAACAAATCCACAGGGGCCTCGATGAGGGTTTCAAACCTATATGCTGGATGTTCCCAGATGCGCTCTAGTCGACTGTACCATGACATGGTACACATCGTCGTACTTACCATGTTGTGGTACAAGGTACTTACCATGACCTCCAACACATAGATTCGAACCCTCATCAAGGCTCACAGTGTTCAATCAAACCCTCAAAGTGTTCAAGAGAGAACTGGATAAGCACCTCCAAAGGATACCTGATCAACCAGGCTGTGATTCATATGTCAGGCTGTGAGCAGCCACGTCAAACAGCCTGGTTGACTAGTCCAGCAACGAGGAGGCCTGGTCGACGACTGGGCCATGGGGACGCTAAGCCCCGGAAACACTTCAAGGTAAGGTAAATCCCTTGTGGATTTGTTCAAATAATAATAATAATAATATGGTGGGGTACTGTACTGTATTGGTATAGGTAATTACTTTTTTTCATGGATATTCCTGCACAGGCCCTAAGCCTCTGGCTGGCCAACTATACTAAAGTGTAGTTACCTAAGTAAAGTTATAAGATGAGAGCTACATTTACGTGCCTCGTCTTCTCAGCACTCTGTCATACTGTATAATGCTTTGAAACTACTAATGGTTTTGGCCTCCACCACCTTCTCATTTAACTTGTTCCAACCGTCTACCACTCTGTGAAAGCAAATTTTCTTATTTTCTTCAGCAGCTTTGTTTAGTTAACTTAAATCTATGACCTCTTGTTTTTAAAGTTCCAGGACTCAAGCATTCTTCCTTATCAATTTTGTCGATTACCTTTACTATTTTGTACATAGTGATCACATTGTCTCTTTTTCTTCTATCTTTTAGCATTGGCATATTTAATGCCTCTAACCGGCCGACCGACGGAGCCAGTCGGCCGAGCAGACAGCACGCTGGACTTGTGATCCTGTGGTCCTGGGTTCGATCCCAGGCGCTGGCGAGAAACAATGGGCAGAGTTTCTTTCACCCTATGCCCCTGTTACCTAGCAGTAAATAGGTACCTGGGTGTTAGTCAGCTGTCACGGGCTGCTTCCTGGGGTGGAGGCCTGGTCGAGGACCGGGCCGCGGGGACACTAAAAAAGCCCCTAAATCATCTCAAGATAATCTCAAGAAACCTCTCCTTGTAGCTCTTGTCTTTCAGTTCTGGAAGCCATTTACTGCATGTCTTTGCACCTTTCCAAGTGATAATGTGCTTCTTAAGTTATGGACACCACATAACCACTGCTTATTCCAACTTTAGTCTCACAAACATCACGAACAATATCCTCAGTACTCTATGTCACCATTCATGTATTTTAAAGCAATTCTGAAATTGGAAAGAATTGCACGAGCTCCTTGAACAATGTTCTTTATTTAGTCCTCAGGAGACAGTTTTCTATCAAGAACCACCTCTACATCTCTTTCTGTATCAGAATTATTTAAAAATTTCCACATAATTTATAGGGTGTATATGGTTTGTTTTCTCCTATCCCACATTCCATAACATGACATTCAGGGTTCTGGTAGTACAGTCGGGTTCATTTTCAACTCACAATTGAGAATTCCAGGTTCGAATCCCGTATGGGACAGAAATAGTTGGGTGCATTTCCTATCACCTAATGCACCTGTTCACCTAGCAGTAAATAGGTACTCCGGAGTCAGTCAGCTTGTTCTGGGGTTTCATCCTGGCCGGGGTCAGTAATTCGACCTTTTGGGAGGGACCTCGATATAAGCCTAACGTGTATGAATACACTCTGGCTTTCTGTCCCTCGATAATAATGAATTATTTTAATTATTATATATTCACATTAAATTCTATTTACACTTTAAATGCCATTTCTGTGTCATGTCACAAACTAATTACACATCAGGATTATACAACCACCAGAATGTAGTCAACATTTTCTCTGAGCACTTTCAATGTTTATGCCACATTTCTAGGAATATGAAATAAGACCGTCATTTTATCACCTTAACCATGTGGAGTAGGCCATAAGAAGTGCCTCTGTATATTATTTTTATATACAGTACAGTATATATAGAATTCACATATATATTATACAGTAAAGGTCCACGAAGTACAGCAAGGAGTCCAGGTAATACAATTGGGTTTGTTATTGACTCACAATCGATTATTCCGGGTTTGAATCCCAGGGAAGACAAAGAACTGGTTGGGTGCATTTCCTATCACCTAATACCCCAGTTCATCTAGCAGTCAATAGTTCCACCAGGAGTTAGTCAGCTTCTTGTGAGGTTGCATCTTGGGGAAAGGAGTCAGTAGTTCAATCTTGGGGGGATCTTGATATAAGGCTAACACGTGTATATATATACACTGGTTGTGAAACCCCCCAACACAATTATTTATTATACATACATACATACAATCCAGATATTTCCAAATAATGTATGCACACAACTCAACAGCAGCTAATTCTTAATTTACTGTTTTTTTGTCTTTTTATTTGGAGGAAACCAGTGACAATTTTGGTATTATATACTTTTTCACACTATCAATTATGGCACCAACTGCCCTAAATTTTTCTTGGATGCATGAAATGAACCAGCAGTCTAAGCCTAGCAAGCAAATGATGGAGTATTATTGGACCAATATGACTCTAATGTTCTTCAATTGGGTATATATTTGATTAAGATATACTAAATGCATACTGTATTATAATTGTCCGTGTTTACATGCATGTGTATGTTTATATTTTATATATACTGTATATATATTATATAATTATATATGCTGCATATAATGTTATGTACATAATACACAACATATAATGTTATGAGAGTACATAACATCAATGTGTTATGTATTCTCATAAACCCAATGTACATTCTTGTGTGTATATATATATATATATATATATATATATATATATATATATATATATATATATATATATATATATATATATATATATATATATATATATATATATTATATAATAATGCATGTACCTAATAGCCAGAACTGCACTACTTGGCCTTGTATGCAAGGACTGGCTTGCCTATTAGGCAGAATTATTTTTCATTATTTTCAAATAGTTCTTTTCAAACTGGTTAATTACATTTATTAATATTAGTATACTGCATTATATTATGAACATGAATTACTGACTTAATTATGTTAGGTTAAGTTAGGGTAGGGTAGGGTAGGGTAGGGTAGGGTAGGGTAGGGTAGGGTACGGTAAGCTAGGGTAGGGTAGGATAGGCTATGATAGGATAGGATACGTTAGAGTAGGGGTAGGTTAGGGTAGGTTAGTAGGATAGGTTATGGTAGGATAAGGTTAGGGTAGGATAAGGTTAAGGTAGGATAAGGTCAAGGTAGGATAAGGTTAAGGTAGGATAAGGTTAAGATAGGATAAGGTTAAGGTAGGATAAGGTTAAGATAGGATAAGGTTAAGGTAGGATAAGGTTAAGATAGGATAAGGTTAAGATAGGATAAGGTTAAGGTAGGATAAGGTTAGGGTAGGATAGGTTAGGTTTGCTAAAAACTTTTGTGTTAGTTTCAGCTCAAATTAAAAAAAAATGTGTAATGTAATGGAAAGCTTTATCATTCCAGAACAAAATTTGTTTTAAAATATATTATTTCAGGAAAATTTGGCTTGTTAGGCAACTTGGCCTATTAGGTACAGTACAACATACAGTATACATATATAAAACGTATTATAGTTCACACAATAATAGCCATAAGCAAGTGACTCTTAAATTTTATGCTTTGTGCCAAAAGTAGATAATAATAAGAATTAAAGTTTCTAAGTGTCTAAGAAATAAATCTAAGTTATACACAACATATTAGCTTTTTAGCAGCTAGGCAGATAGTTACATTTCAAGATATCGGTAATTAACGATGCCAAACTCTCACCATTGTGTTAGTGTCGGCGTTAAGCTTACGCTGTTGCTCTCTGGCATTCAATTCTCGTATCATCATATCAACCTCTGTCTGTAATCTACCTTTCTCCTCAATTTGTTTGGCCAACTCCGCTTCCAACTTTTCTTTGCGTATGATCTGTTCTTGCACCAGTGCTGCTGAATTAAATAGAAATGAAAAATACTTAAAATCAGTTTCTCAAATGATCAATTGTGAACACAGCTAACGTAAACAGGAATTTTCAAGTGAAATTCGGTTGAAGTACTGTATTTGCAAAAAAATAGCATATTAAATTTAGTGCCCAGAATCTATTACTGTACTTTTATTTCTAACTTTTAAAGAATGATAAAGAACTTTAAAAAAGAATACAGTACTGTATACCAAAATTTTTCTACATATCAACTTACGAATTTATCATATCAATTAAATTATTGATTTTATAATTTTAAATTCTACATAAACAGTTTACTCTATCTTACGTTACTCTTTGAAATTATACTTTGTTCTATTTTAAGATTACAAGGTTTCCCACTTATTTAATTACAAGAGACATAAAGAGGAGAAAAAAGGGATTAGACATCCATCAAACACCAGTGTAGGATTCCATGAATTCTACAAAAATATCTCTGATCTATGAGTGTCATGCAGGATCCAGACCAGCCATGGGCACACACTAAATTACAAATACAGTACTGTATTACTGAATTGGAAAGAAGCCACATCAGGATATTATTAAAAATATAAATAGTATATTAATATAAAAACCAATAAAAATTCCCAACACAGCCAAACACAATATTGCTCATATCTTTGTTATAAACATCTAACAGCAAACTAACCACTCTACTTTGCACAAACAGTGGATCCTTATTAATAAAAATAAACAAAAATAAGTTAGTAGCCATATTTCTAGAATTACAGGATAATCAATCTAAAGGCAACCCTCATTATTTAGGGCAACAGAGAAAGCCCCCCCAAAACATTTCACAGGTTGTGGGGCCCATGTGAGTGGGTGTCAAGCAGCACACTGAGGGGTGTACAGGGGACACACTGCAGTAGTGCATGCTGCTATACCTTGCATGTGATCTGAATCAGGCCTGGCAGGTGGCACTGCCCATATGGGCTCTCCTGCAGAGTAACCCAGGCTAGTCTCAGTGCTTGGGGGGTAGTGGAGGGGGTGCAAGGACACTGGTGGCCCCACACACTCTGGCAGTGAAGACTTGCGCCGTCTTGACTCTGTGGGTATAGAATCAGACGAGTACCAGGTTTGTGGACGCCGCGATTGTCCTTGTACCCCCTCCTGCCCTACCACATCACCCGTTGTCGGGAATGCAGCTCCCGTGGGAGTGGAACCACCATTTGCACTTGAGCTGTACTGGATGTGGAACGCTGTGTTGGCCTGGGAATTTTTATTGTCAAGGTTTGTGCGCATGGCAGAGATTGTGCCACCAGTGGGACCTATAGAGATCTGGAGGGAGGAACGCGAGCCATGGCGATGGTCAAGAGAAGAAGTAGAATAGGTTAAAGAGGAACCACTACTGCGGATTTGAATAGGTGGTTGAGGGTCGCTAGACGGTTGTCGTAACTGAAGGTTTACTGACGTGTATGATCGACCACACACTGAAACTGTACCATCACTCGAAGGAGGCCCAGGGGCATGATGTGCCCCATGGGGAGGAACAGGAGTTAGATATAAGGATGAAATATGTCTCGGACCTGGTGGAGGTCGACTGCTGCTGCTGCCACCGATGTTGCTTGGATTTGTACAGTTGCTAGTTGTGGTGGTTACTGTTGTTGTGGTTGTTGCTGAAGGCGATGAAGGAGAGTCTATGATATTGTTTAATGGGGGAGTTGGGGAATGATGTGGACTATTACTTAATCTTTCAAATTGCTGTTCCATTTCACGTACATTGTAAACAAGTCCTTCTTTATTTCTCTCATAATAGGTTTCTGCACTTTTACGACGTTCTGGGGGATCTTTATTTTCATAACCACTGAATGGGTCAAAAGAATTGGGCACAACCGGTGCCGAGTTTGGCATAACTGGTGTAGCGGATCGAGACTTAGAAGTTTCGTGGGAGCAATAAGGAGTGTCCTGTCTACTGCACCCCCCTTGTAAATGTCTTGGGGGTGGTTGTATACCAGCTGCCTGAAGTCCATTAGAAACAGACGGATGCCACCCATAGTTTATTTGGCTATTAATTGGTGGTTGATAAAAAACAGGGCTGGTAGCCACTGCGGTTGTGATGGGTGATGTATAAACTGGCCCTGGACTTGCTGCCATTCCAGGGCCATAACTGTACACTAGGTACCCACTGGACTGTAGTGGGCCAAATACATGGTGTGTTGCAGTGGAGTGGTGCAACATTGGGGTAGTTGATGCAGTGGTGGTAATAACAGGTGTGGTGGGTGTGGACGGTATTCCTGTTCGGATCGGTGAGGTGACGCGTGAGGGTGACGGTGAGGAGAGAGCACTGTTGGAGCGGCCCCAAGGGCCATAGTAACCACCATGATGAATATGTGCCTTCTGCGATAGCTCCTCTTCGCAACGTTCACGATCAAGCCCATACTGAAAGCAAAAAATATAAAATTTTAAAAAATATTTCAAAATGAAGACAGCCAAAATTACATTTCAATGTAAGTGACAACTTCAATGGCTGGTTTGTGGAATACAATAAACTATTTTTGCAATATATATATACATTATTACGAAAGAATATTTGACATTTTTGTTCAAAGTTGATTACAATATTACTACAGGTTTTACTACTATACTATCACTCTTATTAATAGTTTGAGCATTATTATCACTACAATATTATTATTATATTATTGTTGCAATTATTAAATTATTATTGCTCTTATATTAGCAATTATTGGATACTAATATTTGGGCTCCAGAAATTTTATTCTCTGCAAACCAATTATACTTATAGATTTATACATATCATCAAACCAAATTAAATTTTTTCAGAATTATACAAATATTCCAAGTGCACCCAGAGCACCTTGTGATAGCATCCCAGAGCACCCCTGTGATAGCATCCCAGAGCACCTTGAGATAGCATCCCAGAGCACCTTGTGATAGCATCCCAGAGCACCCTGTGATAGCATCCCAGAGCACCTTGTGATAGCATCCCAGAGCACCTTGTGATAGCATCCCAGAGCACCTTGTGATAGCATCCCAGAGCACCCTGTGATAGCATCCCAGAGCACCCTGTGATAGCATCCCAGAGCACCTTGTGATAGCATCCCAGAGCACCCTGTGATAGCATCCCAGAGCACCCTGTGATAGCATCCCAGAGCACCTTGTGATAGCATCCCAGAGCACCCTGTGATAGCATCCCAGAGCACCCTGTGATAGCACCACTGAGTGACCTTCAATAGCACATGTCTGAAAAATTCAATGATGCTAATAAAAGATAAAGTTCTCTTGACGACAAAGGACCACTTTAATAAATTATTACTCCACGCAAATATTTGCGCATGATACCAGGGAGCATACCATGGTGGGCATGAGTGTGGCTCTCGTCTTGTAACTACACTTAGGTAATCACAAGTATAATGCTCTGTATTCATGTAGAGCAACGCCTCTACTACAGCAACACACTACAGACCAGTAGTCAGCTCACACTTCACACTAATGGACACAATTCACATACACGCATACGGAGATGCTGATTATTAAATAACCATACTAGGTCTCCACATGATCAAATTCACTCATAACAACAGCATTCCTCACTTTTCAAGTCCCTTATGACCTCCAAAACTTTAACGAGTGGACTCAAGGGCAAGGATATAACATAATTCAAATATGCTTTTACGTACAAGATATTATGCAAGTCTCCACCAAATAATACCACTGTATTATTTCACATCATATCCGAAGTAATGCAGTGCAGGTATGATCTATATAAAGTACTGGACATATTTATCAAGAATAAATGGCTGCAAATATTTTCATTAAAGGCAGAAAGAGCACAGCATAACACTACCATGTGATGAGCCTGACCTCACATATCTGCAAGCTCATGGAGAGAATCCCAACGGAGGAGATCGTCCACCATCTTACTGTGCACAATCTAGTAAAATCAACACAATATGGTTTTGTTAAAAATAAAACCTATCTTACAAACCTGCTCAAATTTTTCAAAACAGTAACCAGATATTCAGACAAAGGACTTCTCTAAAGCTTTTGATAAGGTACCACAAAAAAGACTGGCAAGGAAATTATAAACACAGAATAAATGGTAGAAAATTAGAATAGATGGAACAATGGTTAAAACAAAGGGAGCAAAGGGTCATTCTAAATGAAAATGAATCTGACTGGAGAAACATGGTGAGTGCAGTACCACAAGGTTCCATCTTGGGGCCAACTGTTGTTTTGTCATATACATCAGTGATATAGATGAGAATATTACAAACCACATCATGAAATATGCAGATGACACTAAGACTTATAGTAACATAGGAAGCGAAAATGACTGACATTGAGGCCTTACAAAGAGATATACAGGAACCAAACAAATGGTTAGAAGAGTGGCAAATGTTTTTTAATATAAAAAATATACTATGTACCATGCATGTGGGGCAAAACAATGCCCATCACAACTACCAAATCAACATTTCTCTGTAGCAGAATGATGAAGAAATGAACCTGGAAGTCAGAATTCATGAATGATTGAAAGTCACACGAGTCGGCACCTTAGGTTTTCCAGGAGGCAGCTCTGTTCCTTCTTCATCACTTCTCTGCTCAACTCTTCATCACTCTCTTCTTCCCTGCTCCACTCTTCATTTTTCTTTACTTTAATTTTGTGGTCATTCTGAGCTGGCAATATTTATATCCTCAGTTTGCTGACCCCTAGCCATTTTGCTGTGCTGGTGGCCTTTATTAATAATGCTTCTACAGCCATGTTCCAGACATAAAGGCTTCTGACTCCCCATTTTGGCCAAACATCTCACACAGTCCCTCATCCTCTGTGAGGATGCATCGAACTGGGTTAAGTGTTTCAGCATGTATGCGTGGATCCAGTATCCTGGGCTTTGGCATTCATGACTAAGCCTCTATTTTTTTTCTTTTAATTAAAAGGGTACATGTTTCCCTTTCAGACTCAAATATGTTTTGGGGTAGTGTTGTTGGGTTCTTAATGTGGTGCACTATGGTGGTTACCTTACCTTGAGGTTACCTTGAGGTGCTTCCGGGGCTTAGCGTCCCCGCGGCCCGGTCGTCGACCAGGCCTCCTGGTTGCCGGACTGATCAACCAGACTGTTGGATGCGGCTGCTCGCAGCCTGACGTATGAGTCACAGCCTGGTTGATTAGGTATCCTTTGAAGGTGCTTATCCAGTTCTCTCTTGAACATTGTGAGTGGTCGGCCAGTTATGCCCCTTATGTGTAGTGTAAGCGTGTTGAACATTCTTGGACCTCTGATGTTGATAGAGTTCTCTCTCAGAGTACCTGTTGCACCTCTGTTTTTCAACGGGGGTATTCTGCACATCCTGCCATGTCTTCTGGTCTCATATGATGTTATTTCTGTGTGCAGGTTTGGGACCAGCCCCTCTAATATTTTCCACGTGTAAATTATTATGTACCTCTCCCGCCTGCGCTCAAGGGAGTACAGTTTTAGGCTCTTTAGTCAGTCCCAATAGTTTAGATGTTTTACCGAGTGGATTCTAGCAGTAAAGGATCTCTGCACGCTCTCCAGGTCAGCAGTTTCTCCAGCTTTGAAAGGTGCTGTCATTGTGCAGCAGTACTCCACTCTGGAGAGCACAAGCATTTTGAAAAGTATCATCATCGGTATAGCATCTCTAGTGTGAAAAGTTCTTGTTATCCAACCTGTCATTTTTCTTGCAGTTGTGATGGCTACTTTATTGTGTTCTTTAAAGGTAAGGTCTTCCGACATGAGCACACCCAGATCCTTTACATTGCCTTTTCGTTCTATGTCATGATTTGCCTGAGTTTTGTACGTGGTTTCCGTTTTTATATTTTCATTTTTTCCATAGCGCATGAGCTGGAACTTATCTTCGTTAAACACCATATTATTTTCTGTAGCCCATAGAAAGACCTGATCTACATCTGACTGGAGGTTCGCCGTGTCCTCTATGTTGCCTACTCTCATGAAGATCCTAGTGTCATCTGCAAAGGATGATACAGTGCTATAGGTTGTGTTCTTGTCTATGTCCGATTTGAGGATGAGAAAAAGTACTGGAGCAAGCACAGTACCCTGGGGGACTGAGCTCTTCACGGTTGATGGGCTGGATTTTATTTTGTTGACTATTACACATTGGGTTCTGTTGGTCAGGAAATTGTAGATCCATTTGCCTATTTTTCTGGTAATTCCTTTTGAACACATTTTATGTGCAATAACACCATGGTCACATTTATCAAAAGCTTTTGCGAAATCTGTGTAAATTACATCAGCATTTTGTTTGTCTTCCATAGCATCTAATGCCATATCATAGTTGTCCAGCAACTGCGACAGGCAAGAGCGCCCTGTTCTGAAACCATGTTGTCCGGGGTTATGGAGATGCTGTGATTCCATGTATTTTGTGATCTTACTTCTTAGCACTCTCTCAAAAATTTTTATGATGTGCGATGTTAGTGCTATCGGTCTGTAATTTTTTGCCTCTGCCTTATTTTGAAGTGGTGCTATCTCTGCTGTTTTTAGTATATCAGGAATAACGCCAGCATCTAGGCTTTGTCTCCACAGAATGTGGAGGGCCTGCGATAGTGGTTTTTTACAGTTCTTTATGAATATGGAGTTCCAAGAATCCGGGCCTGGTGCAGAGTGCATAGGCATACTGTTTATGGCTTCTTCAAAATCCAGTTGGGATAGGGTAACGTCTGATATATGATTTGATGTTGGTATCATATCCATGAAAAATTCATTTGGGTTATCAATCTTTAGTGTGTTTAATGGCTCGCTGAAAACAGAGTCGTACTGCTTCCTCAGTAACTCGCTCATTTAGCTAGGTGAGCTAGCTTTTTGAGGAGCCACTAAGGACATATTTTTCTGGGAATCCATCAGTGACTCCCCTATTTCCACCTTCTTTTCCATTGAATACTATACATCCTCAGGGGTCTACCAAGGCTTCAGAGATGATGTTGGCCTTGCCAACATCATCACTCTCGCCATGGTTGACTTGTGCTACCATCTTGTGCTAGAGAGAAAAGCAGTCCACAATCTAGTGGAAGATTATGCAGCATCCAGAGTTTTTGCTCGGTGTGATGGTCACTTATGAATCTTCGTGCTCCCTTACCTTTTGTGATGAGGGGTATAATTCTGGTCTTTGTTCCAGGTATGCATGAGACAGCCCCAGATGCCTGGTGTGATGGTATTGGTCTTGGGATATCAGTGCATAAACTCTCAAGAACCACTATTAGGCCCCCCCAGGAGGAGGCATGTATTATCCAGTACAGTACTTAATGCATTTTTTACTACCCCTGTATCTTAATTTATGTTAATGATTTTTCAAAGTATACACTCTTTCTTTTTGGAAATTCAATAAAATAGAGACAAATTCCCTTGGTAATTATTGGTTGAATTGATAAAGATACATTATGTCTT